CATACAAATCCTTTGGGGACAAAAATTAAGTGATTCGAACTCAACCATATTCGAGAAAAAAAATCACACGAATATTTAAAACAAACAGAGAAATGTTGGGCTTAATAGCGCCTCCTTCTTCCCTCTTGCCTTCTTGAGGAATCGCCGGTCGCCCCACACCTGACTGAGGGGGGGGGGGGGGAGGTGAAGAGTAACAATGTTTACGCTGGATTAAATGCGAGTCGTTTATCAGGCGCGCCGGCCAATATTTCTTCTCCTTCTCCTCTTTCTTCATCTCTATTTCTTCTCTTTTCTTTATATCTTATTCTTTTTCTTCGTCATCTCATTTTCTTTTCTTTTCTTTTCTTCTTCTTCTCCTCTTTTTTAGTCATCTCCTTTTCTTTTCTTTTCTTCTACTTCTCCTCTTTCTTCGTCATTTCCTTTTTTCTTCTTCTCTTTCTTCGTCATCTCCATTTCTTCTCTTTTCTTTTCTCCTTCTTCTTCTCCTCTTTCTTTAACATTTTTTCTTCTCTTTTATTTTCTTCTTCTCTTTCTTTGTCATCTCCTTTTCTTCTCTTTTATTTTCTTCTTCTTCCCTTTCTCATTTTTTTTCTTATTATCATCATTCTCCTCTTTCTTCTTCTCTTTCATTTTTTTCCTTCTCATTTTCTCTTTCCCCTTTCTTTCTCTTCTTTTCTCTGCCTTTTCTTTATCTTCTTCATTTTTCCCATTTCCTTTTATTCTTATTATCATCTCCTTTTGGTTCTTGTTTTTCTTGTTCTCTCTCTTCATCGTCATCATCATCTTTTTCTTCTACTCTTCTTCATTTTCTTTCTTATTTACCTCTTCCTCTTCTACTATTCTCCTTCTTTCTCTAGTTTTCTTCTTTTTTTATTTTTTTTTATTATCTTCTTTTCCTTCTTCGTCACCTCCTCCTTCTCCTCCTCCTCCTCCTCCTCCTCCTCCTCCTCTCCCCTTCCTCCTCCTTCTCCTTCTTCATCTTCATCTTTTTCTTTTCCTCCCCCTCCTCTTCTCCTTCTGTTTCTTTTTCTTGTTTTTGTTCTTGGTAGTATCTACCTTGTTTTTTTCTGTTTTGTTTTGTTTTTCTTTCTTTCGTCTACTTCTTCCTTTTCTTCTCTCTCATTTCTATTTTTTCCGCTTTTTCCTTTTTCCTCTCTGTTTCACCTTATTCACTTCTTTTTTCTTTTTTTCTTCTTTTGGGAATTATTATTATTCTTATGCACTATTTCCTTTATATCGATTATCATTATCGTTATTAATATTATTATTATCATTGTTATCACTATTATTATTATCATCATCATCATTATCAATATTATAATTTATTATTATTAATATCATTATCATTATTATTATTATTATTATTATTATTATCATTTTTGTTATTATAATCAACGTTGTATCATCATTACTACTACTATTATTATTATTATAACTATTACTTTCATCACCATCATCACCAACTTCACTATCACCATTCGTAATCATTAAATTATTTCCTACATTTATTTCCTTTATTATAATTGTCATCTTTTTTATCACAATTATCCTTTCCCCTCTTCTTCCTCTTCGTCTTCCTCTGCTTCTTGACGGTCAGTATAAGGCTTGGTCCACAAAAGGGCGACAGATATTTGTTCAGGATAAACAAAAGCGAACTTGGATAAATACTTTCTTGTTATTGTTAAGAGGTTCAATTTCTCTGTCTGTCTGTCTGTTGTATGTCTGTCTGTCTGTCTATCTCAATCTCAATCTATCTATCTATTTATCTATCTCTTTATCTCTTTCTCTCTCATCTTCTGTTTATCTGTCTGTCTGTCTGTTTGTCTATCTATCTGTCTTGTTTGTATGTCTGTATGTCTCTCTCTCTCTGTCTCTCTCTCTCTCTCTCTCTCTCTGTCTCTCTCTCTGTCTCTCTCTCTCTCTCTCTCTCTCTCTCTCTCTCTCTCTCTCTCTCTCTCTCTCTCTCTCTCTCTATCTATCTATCTATCTATCTATCTATTTCTATTGATCTATCTATCACATACGTACACAGATATATATATATATATATATATATATATATATATATATATATATATATATATATATATATATATATATATATATATATATATATATATGTATATATATATATATATGTATAAATATAGGCTACATATATATAAATATACATACATACATATAAATATACATATATATATAATATATATATATATATATATATATATATATATATATATATATATATATATATATATGTATGTATATATATAAATATACATGTATATACATTATATATATATATATATATATATATATATATATATATATATATATATATATATATATGTGTGTGTGTGTGTGTGTGTGTGTGTGTGTGTGTGTGTGTGTGCGTGTGTGAGTATGTATATATATATATATATATATATATATATATATATATATATATATATATATGTGTGTGTGTGTGTGTGTGTGTGTGTGTGTGTGTGTGTGTGTG